ACCTGCAGTGCCTCGCATCATGGTATTTTCAGGCCCATTTGTCAACCCTTCATCTTCAAAGCCCTAATCAAAGGGACGCTGTTAAGATGTTGCACCTTAGACAACATTGTTTGAAATAGAAAGCATCAAATTATTTCGCAGCAGCTCGCATCTGGATTTTGCGCAGGGTTCCCAGTGTTACAGTCCATTGAGTTGAGGAAGTCTGGAGGAGATTCATGCTGATCAGAGTAAATTACTTTGACATACCAATCTTACCCTGTGCTGGAGTTGAGCAATAAGGCAACGAGGGCTTCACTTTTCTTTTGTTCCAGACGTGAAGGTTTTGCACTTACAGACAAATATAGTTGAATGAGATAGGAATAAGAGCCAAAGATAAAATGATTGGAATTTTCAATCTGGGGCTGAAAAGCAATGTGAGTAGAGATGAGATGCAAACCAAGCATCCCTTTGGGGAGCGGGATATGGATTATAAGATCCTGCTGCTGGTCCACAGAGACACAGGCAATCACTCAGCTCTTTGATATCCTCTTGTAGGCTGTGCTTGATGCCACTGTATGCCTTTTACTCACACTGAGGAATAGATGATGGCTATGATCAATGTTTTCTCTCTGTGACACCTTTTTAGGAGCAGACCCTTATTTTTCTGCTGTTGCAACCCCTCGAGTGTCTTTGCGTTGCATTGCCGGTCCTGCAGTGTTGTACAAAAGATTGTATGTGTTTCAGGCTATGGTTCCCTGTGGCATAATGAAATACAACGCTCACTGAATGCAATCCGAGCTGCCGGCGTGTGTGTGTGTGTGTGTGTGTGTGTGTGTGTGTGTGTGTGTGTGTGTGTGTGTGTGTGTGTGTGTGTGTGTGTGTGTGTGTGTGTGTGTGTGTGTGTGTGTGTGTGTGTGTGTGTGCGCGTGTGCATCGATTCTGATATTTTATGCATTTCTCCACATTTAAGGCAACTTTATTCATGCATTTCTCTGCTCTTCACAATAAAAGACCGTTTTTGATAACAGTTTTTTTTTTTTTTTTGAACAGATGTGTGTCTACACATTTTCATTCTGTGGAACACTGCACAGATGGCTCTGATGTAATCTTTTCAATCTGCTATTAATCACACTGTGCAGAAAGGAGGAAAAGACTGCAGGAAAGGTCATGAAGAAGTGGATTTTGCGCTATTTATTACACAGGAAGGCATCTTGTGATAACTCTAAATAATCTATGAGATTATCAGAGGCTACAAGTGCACGAGGGGAACAGTCACCTCCCTTTGCAATTGATTCTTACTTTTATTTTCCGAGCAGGTATACCCTAAACACTTTAATAGTAGCACCAGACCCAACAGGGATTATCATTATTCCAGTCTTTACACATACAATCTCCATCTCAGCAGGTGTGTCCAGGGATTAAAACAGAGCTGGAGGCTGAGGGATCATTACTCCAGTATTACCGTTCAGGTGCAGATTAGTCCCAACACATCAGTCTCCAGCTGCAGGCAGAGAGCCAACAGCACCTTCACTTTCACACGTTCATTGAAGTCCATCAGATCGCATGTATTGACAGAAGAAGACAGAATATCATGTTTTGGCAGCAAATCTGGGAAGTTGTTTACATGCAGCGCAGAAACCTGGTTACTCTATAATCCAACATGCAGCAAGTGTCTCCAACCTCCTTATATCTCACTCTCCTTTTCTATATGAAAATAACTTTCCCTAATTGATGAGAGATGTTATAACACAGTTTGGATTGAAGGAATGTAAACCCACCAGCAGCATGTTTTTGATCAAAGCCTTGATCAAAACATGAATTCTATATGTCAGTGTGCTTTGGTTTGAAGTTGTATTTCTTTAATCATAGTCCTTTATTTATCAGGGACAGTACTCGTTAATCTACATGACCATGAAGAAGGTATTAAAAGCACAAATTAAGAGTTTCTGCTGGAACTATAGGCCTACAACAACTGCATTAACTCGAACATTAAAATGTCATAATAGATTTTCATCAAACTAAAACTTAAAACCAGCAAATCATACAGACCAAAAGTGGCAAAACATTTAGGTTAAAGATGAAAGAACTTTTATGCATTCATGCAATTCAATAAAACTCTGACGCTGATTACTGATAAGATTTTTTTTAAATTATATGTAGGGATGGAAAGATTAATCGTAAAATCGTGATAAATCGATTCAAAGGTGTCAAGGTTCACATCAGTACTCTGAAAAATGAATTGCAGTAATATGGTGAGCGTCAGCAGCTGTAGAGCAGAGGCGGTTGGCAGCTGCAAAGCAAGATTTGGAAATTGAGGACGCTCCACCGTCTTTTAAATCGGAGGTGTGGAAGCATTTTGGCTTCCCCCAAGACAGAAAATGAAAGAGGTGAGAAGATAACAGACGAGACAAAAACTGTGTGAGAATATTGCAAGAAGACAGAGAACTACAAACATCATGATGCAGCATTTAATCGACACCACAATGAGAAGCTCCAATCACTTCCCCTTGTTGAGAGAAAATGAACATTAAAAGGCCAAACCACACTGACAAGTGGGTTTGCAGCCCCTGAAGGAATCTTTTTCAGTCATAATTTGTCTACAGTCTCATATTGTGAAATAAATCGTGAGAGATTCATATCATGAACCCAGTATCATTAATTGTATTGTATCGTGAGTTTAGTGAATCGTTACATCCCTCATTATATGTGTATGTAATTCTGTTCTTGTTTGGCTTTTTTTAGATTTTTTTTTTATACCGAGAAAGTTTATCTTCCAAATCTGCAGTTAGACTAACCGACTACTTAATAACGTACCCTAACTACTAAACTTTAAACATCAAAAACCTGCTGTTAGGAGATAACAGCATTGAAGAATTGTGTAAGGGCTTGTGTTCTTAAAATCTGGAATCTTAAAAGGTCATGTGAGGCCAAAATCATCAGACTTAAACATCTTTTGGAGGAGAATCATTTCACAGAGTGTGAAAAAGGTATTAGTTAACGTGTTGGTGAAAATGTACTTCTTATACTTCACTTGAGTGGTTGCAGGGCAAAACAAACCTATTTCTTTACAAGAAATAAACTGAGGGTTTATGAACTTTAAAGGAAACTAACTGGCATAAGCACAAATCAAGAAAAAAAATGATATGTGAATGTCGTCCTCCATGAAATCTCTGATGTGGTTTAGTCTTTCTCTACTTTGACAGGGTTCTTTTGTACTTTCAAAGCATTTAAAAAGCATTAACACAACTTTAGCTATGGGCATCTGTTCTCTAAATGACCATATAGCCTTGGTATTGTGGACAGATTTGAAATGTTCACTTCAATATTTCATTAGCCGTGACTGCCAGAAGAAAGACAGCAGCAACAAAAGGAGGACAGAGGCCACACACAGAGAGGAGTAAGAGCCTCATAAGAATGACAAAAAAGAGATAACAGACTAACTGCTGATAACATTTTGAAAAGGACACTAAACGGCAGCTTTCTTTTTCAAAAAGTAGTCACATTTAGGAGTTCCCATTGGTAGGAAATGATCAAAATAAAATCTGTAGGACCCAGACATGCTGACTACATTTGAATTCTGGCACCCACCTTTTCTTTTAAATAAATTAGGCAGCCATGCTTCCTGCACTTTATTTATTCATACACTTTCTGTCTGACCTCGGATTGCTTGAAGAGCTAAACAAGTTTGTGTTTGCTGCCACAAAAACATTTTAGTGTTCAGTGTTTTTTTTCATTAATCTTTCTCTTATCCAGATATTCACATTCAAAGAGACATCAGGTCGACACCTTTGAGGTCTGCTTTGTTTGTCAGTTCTGACAAATTTGCAAACACACACATACACACAAAAAAGGGCATACACAAAGAGCTGCACAGGTCTCTCTGCAATGCCTGACTTTACCTTGATCCACTCGTTTGATGAAATGATATGCTGCAGATTGAGATGTGAGTGGATTGTGCTCACTCACTTGCTGCCATGGTCAGAGTCGTTAGAATTGACAGAGTGTAGAGAAACTAAAAGAGAGACGAGTCCTTGAGCTGAGCTGGAGCCCATTACCAGGCTATAACAACAATGAACAGCTTTACAGCCTGGATTAATGCCCAACATTGAAAATATAAGACCCAAATCACAAATGAATAGTTGATTATACTGTACTCAAAGCATGGTCTAATGGTTTCGTAGCTGAGAGCAAACATAAAGGGATTGATATATTGTATTATATGTGTTATAAGCAGCCTGAGAGCTGCAGCAGAGACAGCAGTCCATGTGCAGGTGAATCATGTTTCCCCTACATCACAATTCCAACTTTAACCCCCAGGGTAGCCCTACAAATTGTCCTACTTTGTATGAGTTGTGAATATTGATTATTTTTTAGTGTTTTACATTGAAAGAAAAAGAGAAATTATTCAGTGTGAGAGTGTTGAGTTAGCTCTTCCTGGACTGGACAGGTCTGAGGTGCTCTCTCTATGGGATGCAGTCACAGAAAACACAAAAAACTCCAAAGCAATCTCTTTATATACAATTCAAACTCCTTTATGTTCATGACATGGTCATAATCACACTGTGCAAGGTAAATAAATACATTTTAACTGTTGGAAAGGGAAGTGTGTTGAAGTTTTCGTGCTCTCTGTACCTTATATGAAGTTTTGTAATTTAGGCTGATTATCCCTCAAAAATAAATTTTAAATTGTGAGATTATTATGGGAGAGACAAGAAGAAACAGGCTAATTTGACCACACAGTTCTTATGTGTTTCTGGTCTCTTTTCTGCTCTTGTATTTTTAAAATACAAGCTGTTGGATATTTAAATGTAACCTGATTTTGTTAAATAATCACATGTTTTGATGTGTAATCTAAATGTGAAAAGTATAGTTTAGTGAAAAGGACAATATTTCACTACTAAGTGTGCTAGAGATGATGTGTAGAGAAGCATGGATATGCAAAATGTAAATGAACTAGTATATCTTAAAATCTAAACTTTGATATTGAAATACTTACAGACCTCTCTATCTTTTGTTCACAGCTACACGCTGCGGGTGGTGGGCAACGGCATAAAAGCTCAGAGTGACAACCCCGAGGTGAAAGTAAAGGGAGCGGACCCTGTGATCAATCAGATCATCGACAAACTGAAACACATCAATCAGGTGAGCCTCTCTTTGACATATTTACACCATAAACACGTGTACTATTTCTTCCTTTCAGTAATCTTTTCTGCAGATCTCCATCCACTTTCAGTCTTTATTTATCCCTCATCTCGTCAGCAGCTGGTAAGCGTCTCCTCAGGCGATCTGCTAATTCTCTGTGCTTCTTTGTTTTATGGAACATTAAGTCTCTGTCGTTAGCTTTGGGCTTTTTCATCAAGGTACACAGGCACGACCAAATTACCTTGAAATGAAATACCCACTTAAAAAGCCTTGTACTCTCCTTCTATGAATTATTCTTTATACAAAAACATTTATATCCTCTTTCATATTACCAGTAAGCACTGGCTAATAGAAAACAGCTATTCCAAAAGTGTAAAATGCAAAATCATCGCTAGGCAATGAAAAAAAAAATCAATCGTAACACATTTAGAAACCTATTTGATTTTGTTTGTGTGTCTTCATACGTATGAAATTATTATCTCCCTATTTGTCCAAATCAATGCAGCTTCTCTATCCCCCGTCCTGCTTTAATGCATGTTTGTGCAGCTGCAGCTTCTTTCACTGCCTGTTATCTCTCAGGTTGATGAGATTAGGGCGGTTTATGGATGCACTTCCTCTCCTGTAGCCTCAATAACAGCTGTTGGTTGTTGCACTGCAGCAACAGCAGCCTCACATGTCAGTTGCTTTGCTTTCCCAAGTGGCGGGCTGAAGGCCAGGTCATCTCCGTTGACCTGGTGCTGGCACCCCCTCCCTGACTAATTCACACCATCTGTGGGATGTCAGGAAACATAAATCTATATCATAACCATCTGAGAGCACCTGATCCCTCTGACATCCACTGTGCCGTTCTCTCTCTCTTTTGCTTCTTAAACCTCTTTCTTGTGGCTCTGCATTTTTTAACCCCAAAGGCAAAAGTTTTATGAGCTTGACTTCTCAGAAATGATTAATCTTCTGCAAAAGATTTACTGTAACTTCTATGAAACACACCATGATTGTCAGCTCAGGCCAGATTATACAATCATCCATAATCTGCTGGGAGCAAAACCTTCAGCGAGATGTGATTTTACTTTTGCACTAGTCACCTCTTTTTGTCCATATTTATTGTTCATCTCTTTCTTAAATTATTATTCATATCCAATTGTTATCAAGAGCTTAAAATATGTTCCTCTACTGCAGTTTTTGCTTCCCATTGATTTAATATCTGATCATAAATCAGTGAGATCATGTCAGTATCAATATATAAACTAACAGTTAAAGATGCATTTATAAAGATATTCAGCAGATTGTTTTTGTTGAATAAAATGACAACACATGACTGACTATGTACAAGAACTATGTTATCCATGCTTTAATAAAAACTTATTTCGGCCACTTAGGGGCAGTGGAAACATTTTATCATCACAAATCAGTGATTTAATTTATTTTTTAATGTTGATAATGAACATTTGTTACCATATTTATTATAATGTACAAATTCAGCAGTCACAGAGAAACATTTGTATTATTTTGGAGTTTTTTTTCATTAAACTGTATTTATGCATCTTACCTTGTTGTTTCATCATCCTATGAATGAATATGCACCGTCGTAGCTGCTAAATTCTCCACTATGTTCACAAGTGACAAGTTACCTTTTATATGTCTACTGTTTGTTGCTGCAGACTGTGTGCATTGGGTTTTAAGTGCTTTTTAAATTAATTCCTGTTGAGAGTGGGATTGAGGCAGACAGCAGTGGTGGTGAAATAAAGGGCCACAATGCTATCAGAAAACAAAAAGATGAAATCCATTGCTATATACTAAATATAGCTGCTCTAAAAATGATAAAAACAACACATTTCTTTCAATAAAAAAATAGTTGAGACATCAAATCCTCCTCAATGATACAGGAAAAAAACTTCACCCGTTGAAACATGAATCTGTATTGACATTGGGTCATAAATGTAGTAGAAATGTGAAATACATTTGAAGTTGGTGCCTTCTTGGCCATGAAAAGGCAGAAAGTGTCTTTTTGACTCGTGTGGATGAATGACACCAAATCCCAGAATGCACAACACCGCAGGCCACTCCCACTAAGGTCCTCTAGTTCAGAATCAGAAATACTTTATTAATCCCAGAGTTTCTCCAAAATATACAATATAGCAGTAGAAATATAGTAATAAAAACATTTACAGACATGTTTAATTCAACACTTAAGGCCGTTTCCTCAACTGATTCCGAGATTTCTTCCAGAATTGAATTGCTATCTTGGAAATTCCTGGCAGAAAACAGACTCTCTGTCTGTGTCTATAGGCAAACAGTGAGCACCAACACTAGTCTACCCCAGCTCGAGCCGGCCCGGGCTCCTCGTCCTCACCGCCGCCGACAGGCAGGCTTTATGTCTCGGCTGCTGAGCTGGTAGCGGCCGGCGGCGGCCAGCAACCTAGCAATATAGCTGCGGGACAGCTGCCACGGCTATTGCTGCCAACAGGCTGGTTGAAACTTGCGTTGTAGTTTCACCTACAGCTTCCGATTAAGCAAAATGAAGATTTCTGCATCATCGGAAGCTCCTTTTCAGACAAAGATTTCCCATCTCAGGGGAAAATGAGGGCGGGATGCACGACTACGAGGTTTATAATGATACAAAGCTTAATGCAAATGGGTGAAGTATCCCTTTAAGCTTTAAGATTTTTTTCAACTGTTTTTTTCATCTATTTTGCTCTTAAAATATTGTGCAGAAGTTCAGTTGTGTTCAAAAAGCAGCTTCTTGTAAAAAAGAAAACTAGTTAAAACTAGTTAAAATCTGCCCTTGTTGAAATCCACATTTACCCTTTTGCAGAAGTGCTGCCAAATCCTTCCTGGTCCTTGCCAGAACTGCCTCCAGCACGATCAGACAAAATAAAAAGTACAGATATTGTTCCTGCTCAGTTTGCTAATGGCAAACCTTGTCTAATTTGTATGTAGTCATAATGGTAATCAACCCAATATTGTGTTAAATGAGCTACTCTTTGCAGTAAGCTATTCCAAGGTTGTGTTTGGGTTTTATGGGACTTTCCAACGCAAAGAAGCACAAATTAATTGTTGCAACATCTTGAGTACACTCGAGCCAAATTACACTCCATCACTGGGTCAAAGTGATCCTCAAAGGGAAGTGTTTTGTTTTGATTTTTGTTAGTCTCAAATCAGTTACATAATGCACTCATTTGCGAAATCATTTATCATTGTTTGTTTTGTCCCATGGCTCCTGCAGATTAGAGAAAGAAATTGTCAAAAGCATCATAGACTTGTCCTGAAGTCACCTTGCCTTACGAGTTATAATTAAGTATTTGTGGTTTCTATCTGAAGTGAACTGGATTCACTCTTTCACGCAGAACAAAATATAGAATTTGTTTATTCAGTGAACATAAATGAAGGTGAAATCTTACAAGTGTTGAGTAGCAGACCTTCATATTCTACATCTGTTACTATTCATGTAACAGCTTGTGTGTTCACGGTCCTTGAGTCTACTTTGCATTATCATCTCATTGGGACTTGATTTGCAAGTGGCTCTGATTTGCAAATAGTTCTGATTGGCATCTCATTAAACGCTGAAGTGCGAGCACAAGTGTCTTCCTGTGTGTACGACCTGAATTGTCAACATAAATCTTAGACGCTCGCATTTTTTTCCTCAACTGTTTCCTTTTTTTTTTTTTTTGTAAAGTTGTTGATCATGCATGTCATGAAGCACACAGTAAAGCTAAGCAGAATACACAACAGGCAGTTCTTGGAAGTCCTAATTTCAGTGACAGTGTGGCAGCTTGAGGATGGAAACTGAAGCTACAGGAGGATATGTGGGTCATATTCCGATTAGAAATGAAGCCCGAGTTAAATGAAGAACCTTAAAATGTTTTTGTATTTTCTGATTCTTGAGGATACCGGTAAATACTGCATGCAAGGCGGGTGGGGTGGGGGGATGAGTAGAGGATTTGTGTGAGTATGTGGCGGTTAATGGCGGCTCGTTTTATGACCAGCAAAAACATCAATTACATATACCAGTGCACACACTCATTCAATTGTACACATGAGTGATTGTGTGCACATCTGGGTGTACCCCACACAGTATATTGCTTCTATAAATCACTATAGTATTGGTGCACCTCATTAATATGGTGAAACTTACCTTAAAGTACGTGTGCATGCATGCATGAATGGCAGGCTGCCTGTTTGAACGGCTGCAGAGGGAAAGAAAAGTGTATCCTGAAATATGGATGCGGGCAAAAGGTGAAATTCTATTACTTTAAAAACATCACTGCCATGGGCATTTTTTATGAGGATAAGAATGATGTGTCCATGCAAATGTTGATTTTCATGTTTTTTTCATCTCAGAGATGTTCTTCACTATTTACATTTATTTGCCGCTGACCTTGACTAACTGAAGAGCTGAAAGCTCTCCCAGTTTCCCTACAACCAAATGGAAATGCATCATTGCTATTCTGCAGCCGAGACCGCAGGAAAACACAGGACAGAAATGCAGCTATTGACAAATTCATCATGCAATCTGAGGAGTACAAACTCCAGATTTCATCATCTTGTTCATCAGCAGCTCTTTCCAATGAATTATTTGTTGGCTTCGCTCCTCCTCAGCCCTGTCCTCCCCTCTTGATGTGGTAAAACCCATCAAGAATCTCTAAGCAGGCCCTGTCCCTGTCTCTCAATCAAAATCAGAAGCAAGCAGCTACTCACCCGATCTGCTGGCTGAATTATTTACCAGCCATTGATGTGGTGGTTGACCAGCAGTTTTTCTTCTGAATAATTCATGTCCCCTCCCCTCCTCGTTCAAAGGATTAACACTTTGAATATATTCCGATTTTATTTGTTGTGCTCTTATATGTGCACACCACTTCATAACATTTGACTGTTAAAGAAGAAGTGCAGAAGCAGCAAAGATGACCTTGGCTACATCCATCATCCTCTTCTCTGGAGATACTTTAACACACACACAACACTCAGTGACTTACACCATTCTGTTTGTGTGATTAATTCATGTT